TTGTGCATTCATCCCAAACAATAAATTCACTCTACTGCAATACTTTTCCTATACTGGACGATTTAGAAATGTTGCATGTGGGAGTTTCAATGAATTGCATGTTCAGTGGCAATTTCAAAGCGGATTGAGCCGTTATGCCACCGGGTAGCAATGTCGCAGCTATTCCGGAGGACGCGAGAGCTAAGGCTATGTTATTTTGAGATCTAATTGCCGCAAGAATCAATCTAAGAAGGAACGTTTTACCAGTTCCTCCAGGCGTATCTAAGAAGAAGATTGCTCCAACCGCGTCATTGTCAGTCTGCGTTATTTGATTGAAAATGCCTTTTTGCTCAGGTGTTCACCTAGGAATGTTGTATTGCACATACGACGAAATTTAGTACACGACGCAATTCGGCACCAAACGAAGCAGTAGCAAATTGAATCGGTGATGGCATTCCCAACTGATTTAGAGCTTTGTTCGCGGTTTCTAAGCACAAGTCTTCAATCGTTATCAACTTTTCGTTGTATATTTCTGCTGGAAATTCCATATTCCTATCGACATTTTCCTTGCTTATTCGAAGAGGAAATCTCTTCAGCCATGTTCGGTTTATATTTCTCCCAGAGCGCTGTTGCAGAAGGAGAGCAAGCGGTCAATATGATTGCAAACAAGGCGCGAATCTGATTTGGATCTGACGTGTTGCACGCATCATTAATGCATAAATCCTAGTGTCAGTCGTTTTTCAATAAACTCAGAGCTTGACATACGCTGCGGAAAGTGGCATGTGTAACGCCGTTGACTTCTCAGTTGTTGGAAGGAGGTAGGACCAGGCACACTGACTAGCAACATGTGAAGAAAAAACATTCACCTTGATTGGATTGCACGGTTTACAGTCTGCCTACGCTAGTTTCCTTGAGGATGTCAGGTTGTCCGTCGACCCGCACTCCTCGTTTGCGTCGTTCAAATGATTTTCTATTCACATTCGAAGCGTTATTCGTGGACACATCGGAAAACAGCAGTTGTTTCGCAAACGCGTGATGTTGGCATAACGTGAAGAAAGCAGTTAACGTTGTAGCCGGTGGATTCAGGGTCATTTGATGAGCATTTGCAGCTGTGAAATAAACGCCTTGTACTGATATGTGGACGACAGCTGGACTTCGTTCATGTGTCGGTAATGAAAGGAATGCGCCATACAGCTTCATTGCTGCTTGTGTATCATCCAGCCTGTTACGGAGCGACTTCCTCTATATGTATACCCGTATTCATATCACTTCTATCTGATTTCAGGCCAAAACATGTCATGTCGCTGCCCTTATTCACCTACTTACATTTGTATTAGACGGAGTTGCAGTACTCCACGTTTATGTGCGCTTTGTACCTTTTTGATGGTAAAGTCGAATATTTAATAACCCACCTGTTATCGACTTTGATGTCACCGTTTCGCATCTGTATAGTGACTGCGTTACCACGGTCTTCTACTTATCGTCTTTTGTACAAAGGGTATCCGTCATTTCCTGTGACTGTGTTGGATAACGACACTCGAGGATATCGCTTTGAGCGATTTCCGTCTATCATGCATTGTCAGTTTGGATTCAATGCACCGCAGGGTCCATGTATCATATTTTTCGTCACAACTTCATGCAAGTCCTTATCGACGTCAGGATCGGGTATTTCAGCGCATATTACATCGTCGATTTCGTTGGAAGTGATTTTGTTTTAGAGCCATATTAATATATGTGCGTGTGGCAGTCCTCTCTTTTGCCATTCCACTGAGTACATCCAACAACGCACCGACCCAAACGCCTCGTGTTTTACCAAGTAATTCCAGCCGTTTCAGCCTCTGTCTGAAAACACGTGCAGTGATGTCATGCCTATCCACCGGCGACTGCCCAGAAAGCAAGAGCTGTTGTATATCGTCCCAAGTTGAATTTCATGTGAATGTAATGAATAGGTCAGGACGCCTGTAATGACGAACATACTCAATTGCATCTTGAGTGTACTCATGCATAAGACGCGGACTGCCAGTATTTGAAGATGGAAAAATTGTGAGTCTCCCAACATCAGCTACATTACTGTCATTCACAACTGCATCTCTCAAATGGACGTATTCTTCAGCACGGAGTTGGGTCTGATCCTTGCAGATGAATAACAAACGTACTGTTTCGATTTTTGCATACATATCCTCGTTATCTTGGTAAAACAATTGACGACAATTCAAAGTGTGCTTGTCTTCATTCTCTCGATTCATTAATTGGTATAAATAAAATTTCATTGCGCTGCATTTCTTCTGTGTTTCTTCGTCACTGACTGGATTTACCCTTTTCACTTTGAACTGATATCTATCAGCACCATCCCAAAAATGATAGGATATTGCGGTGCATGGTAGCTGTTCGTTTTACCGATATCTCTCGGTTGGAATTGATCTCCAACTGCAACTTCGTCTATAGTTGGAGCATTGATTCTTCGCACATGTTCTTCAGTTGGCGTTTTGTCAACATGAATCACAGTCTTGTTTGTATCGGATGTCATCATGTCAATAGCTCTTTTGAACAAACACACTAACTTATTTTTTTGCTTAAGAAGCTCTTAAAATTGGAAAACGATGGACCTTTTATGCCGGTAGAAATGCGCCGGTTGCATTCAATTCATCATTGTCACCACCGTTGAATCACATTTGTAGGAATTTATGTTGATCATCTAGAAAAGAAAGCAGGGATCCGGTTTTATGATAACTCTGTGCTATTACTTTGAAAGTGGGCATGAATGGAATTGTTAAGATTTCCGCACCGAAAAACGTCCTTTGGAGGCATGAGTTGTATTTCTTGCGGTTAGAGGGCAAATGTTTTGCTTCCGTGGTATCTTCGGAAAACAAATTTTTCTGCCTCTGGCGGTTCTTCCATTTGAGACAATTTAATTTTTCCTGCTGCGCAACACATTCATTTCGTTTTTCGATTACCTTTCAGTGTCTTGCAATGCGACCACACTTCACTCATGGCATGCTGGCTCAAACCGTAATATTCAGCTAGGTTGTACCGGAATGCAAGGCGATTCAAATTTTGCTATTACTGTGAATGTGATCATGTTTGGCACTGATCTGCTGTTTCTCTTTGACACCGATCATCCACTGTCAGTCTGTCGCATTCATTCTGTTGAGAAGGAAACATGTCTGAAGCTGCAGATCGTGTGATGGTTTTCGTAACTTCGCATCCTCCAGTCTGGCTGCACGTCGCATCACATGTATCTGAGCCATACTCTGTCTGTGTTCATCAGTCTGATTTGCTAGTGCTCGTCGCATTGCTTCTGATGCGTGAGTACGGCGGCCTAAGCTTGATGCTCTGCGTGATCTTACTCAGGCGAACTAAGGCAGCTCGATAGCACTGAAAAAGAAGCAAAATGCTATGGCAACAGCATATAAAATTGCACAACAATAGAATATGTAAAGGCGCGAACTAAAAAACAATTCAAAACATTAAAATTACCAACGAACTATTTGTATTCGAAAGTAAATCAAACTACAGCGTAATTCCCCCGCCTATTGCAGTGAAAAGTATGAGAAACGAAGGAAAAAAGTTAAGCAATCCTCACGACTTGAACGCCATGTTATCGACAGCTCAATTTTAACGCTGTCACACGCAATAGTCAACCTTTGCGGATTGTAACCCGACTGGAAATCTCCATCTCCTCATGAGCAGTGCCAAATACCAAATAAATCGTCTATTGAAACTTTTAAACATTAAAATATTGTACTAAAAATGACATCTATGCAATGAAATACATATACTAACCTGATAATAATCGAATGCAACGTTGTATCAAGATTTCAAGTAATCGGTGAGGAACTTTCAGAGATTACCTTACCTGGATATTTACATTTTTATTTATCTAGGTTAATGTAAATATCGTTATTTGACTTGTTGATGCTAAAATAAATATTGTTAACGTTAGCAAATATCCCATAGGTCGTGATTATGAGGGCTAGACGTGGAATCAGCATTAAGAATTTATCCTAAAAAGTGACTCCCTGTCAATGTAAAAATGTGTGCTGACCAGTTACATCGTTGAAATCACGTTTATACCCTGAGTAATCATTTGCGGCTAATATTTTCTCGCCTAACTGCTTGGTGCAGCCACGTCTCTGACACCGCTCACCTGTCCAAGCTTTTGGTGAACATTCCTATTGGACTTCGCACAACACTTCAGTCGTTGCCTCTCGAGCGAATGCAATCCAAGCCATCTATGACTCAATGGCGGCAGTTCATGACAGAATAATATTCCACAATTTCATACTGTGAATCGAGTAGGCCACGCGGCTGGTTTTATGTGACATCTGTTTGCCAACGCTGACGTTCGAACTGTATGCGCACGTACCGACATTGGTCTCTGTTTGGACACCCTCATATTTGATCTGGGGGTCTCTTGCCATCCCCTCCTATTCCTTTCCACTTAAACAACATACAGCTTAAGTTTCCAGTTGCGTAGTTCGTCGCCCGATCGTCAAACATTGGCTCATAAAAGCACAGGTTCACCAGTATGGTCTTTTGGTCATGTAACTCCACGAACCCAATTAACAATCGTATCCATCATCCTCACTGATAATCTAAAAGAGCTCGGATAACTGAATTCCTTTTTGCAAGCTCGAAGTGTCATATTTCACCGTAGTGTTACATGGCTGGACTATCACCTGCGTCCCAAAGCAAGCCCCCCCGTTAAAAGTATTGTGTAATTGGCGTTTGAAACTACAAAATACATCATATACTTCGTATTCAACCACTGAGTTGAATTTTAGCATCACTGTTACTGATATGACCGACTGAGTGGCTGGATTCCTAGTGCACTCCCAAGTTGTATTAGTTTTGTTGCATGTTCCCAACACTTCGATGGATCTGCAACCTTTCTCCGAGCCCCCATAAGCCTACTTTTATCCAAAATTTTCAATCAACCAACTACGATTAATACTTGCCTAAATCCTGATTATCTGTTTCTTACTTGATCAACAATTTTCTATCCTACGTTCTTTCCATAGCGAGACTCCAGATAGGCTGGCTATCGTAGCAACGAAGGACGACGAAGATTCCGACCTAATCTACCGGTCTATCAACGGTGGATATCCTCGCGACTCCAAAGGGATTAGATGTGGAAGCACTGCAGAATATAAGTCTGAAGAAGTTGAAACCAATCCCACGGATCCGGCAGGTATCACCTGTTCCTCAAAGCATTCCTCCTCGCACCACTCGAAGTCGACCAAGTCCTCACACACTCCTCTTCAGCTGTACTGCGATGAGTTTCACGCTGGTGGAACTACGACAAATCTTTCGACCAAACCTAGTAAATACACCACCGCTCACCCGGATTCGGTTTCCCCCATGGATCCAACCGACGATGAATTGGTCGGTGGTGGCGGTACCACCAAATTTGTCAATGGCTCGATGTTAAATAATTGCTGGTACCCACCAAACCAGGCAGAACATATTTCAGCCAAGGTTTTAGACAACTACTCCACTTCACAAGTCGCCGACGAATATTTGGATGGTCAGAGTTTAGCGGCTCACGTGTCCTCGTCTACCGTTTCCCCCTCTTCTCTAGGTAATTTGAACGTCTTTAGCTTTGTGTTCGTTTACGCGTTTTTTACTTCGTTTACTTTACTTCGAGTTTCACTTCACCTCCTTATGTGGGCCCAATAAATTATGGGCCAGAACACCTTTCCTCCGACTTTATGTTTTTCTCACTGGCCCGGTAGGTAACCATAAATTTCACAGCTGTTCACTTTCCACTTTGATCTGCTTTGTTCCAATCTTTCAGTTCGTCGCTCACGCCCACTTTCCCTATCCAGACACACATCGTCAGTCCACGTTACTACTCGTCGCTGTACAGTAGTGAGCATGAGGCAATGATAATTTTGTGAGTTGATCCAGCATCCATGTTACTAAAACTGAACACCAACGAGTCCGATGGGTTGGGTATTTTCACACAGTCTATAGAATAGACGTATGGTCGTTAAAAATCACAGAATAAACATCTGTAATATGCATATGAGTCATAAGGAGGCAACGAATAGGAATGTTATCTTTCTGTTTTTCGCATACCGCTTTGTCTTTTGGTTGACTTAATGATTACGATGCTTAACAGCTGAATCGAAGCCTTATTTCATACGGGCCTTTGATTTGTCTCGATTTTTCGCCGTGTCCTTAAATGTTCCGATCCAGCGGTGTTCTTCATCCTTGGATCTCCAGTCCGGAAAATATAAAGGACCGAAGACAGCTGAACTAGGAATCAGCGCTTTGACGTTTGCCACCATGTCTTAGGCTGACGACTACGCGATTTTCCCCTCAGCGAATGGCTCAACCCGGTAATCGCTCGCAAGGCATGCGCAGGAAGCTCTCAAGCCATCCAAACGAGCAGTGATACGAACCTGTTGGAAGGAAGGCCCGTGTTACCTAAAATAGGGCTATACAATCGTCGTTGCAAACGTGGTGCTCCCGCCACACGAGCTATCCTTTCCGAACACCCGTTAACAGAGGCCGAAAGCTGACGCATGTCGTCCACACGAATCGGGCAGGGCCCATTTCCTTATAACAGCATCGCGCGGACACAAGCACTATGGATTCTCCTATACTGAAGTGAAATCTTCCGGCAATGCCATAGTTGCTTTACTGACAATCGCTGATGGGGCTTTGGTAATGCGTAGACAAATCTCCCTTCCAATGATGTTATCAGCACAAACACGGCTTTCCAGGCAAATGAAACTGTCCACTTTTTCAGTTTCGCTACCTACATGAGTTAACACTAGAACCGTTGCATTTCAAGTAAGAGACAGTAAAGCCATACTTAGTTGTTTCCATCACCAAGCGGTTCAGGATATGTTGCATATTCTGAGAGTTATCACCTAGGTAGACAATATCATCTGGATAGCCTAAGTCATTCCCACGTTTGCACAGGAGAAACGGTGTGCTTAAGCCTTGTAAACCCTCTGTAACGCCCAGTACGTCTCTTCAGCGCATACGGTACATGGGACATCCTTGCATTACACTGTTAATGACGGTGAAAGACTAAGGGAGCATATCGAAAACTTGCTCAAACTGAGGGAATACCATGGTGTCAATTTTTCAGCTATTCCACCTTTTCCGTAGTTTAAGAAGATTGAGAGGGTTGCGCGTATCCTCCATGTGTCTCTTTCATCGTCAGTTTCTGACCACTATTTATTTTGAAATGCTCTATACAAGCGACCAAGGCATATGGATCTACTTTCTGCGGTTATCAAACGTGAGGCTTTAGACACTATTCACCCTTACAGCATGAATTTGCGTGCAGCGTTGTCCCTGCTGCCGGGATGCACCAGCGTCAGTACTCTTCAGTTATTCGACTGCGATCTGATCACTCAACTGCGAATGATCCGGTCCACGTCGTTTGCTTCGCTCTGACAGCTTTCGGACCATGTGGTACACCCGCAGTAGAGCATTCGTATGTTTAACGCAGCTCCGACATTCGACAAAGCGTAACAATCTACTCAGTATGTCTACTGGAGTAGGTAGTGAATTGGTTTCTAGAATATCCCTACACCACTGTCATGTGACGTAGGTGCGCAATTTGGATACATTGGTGACAAGCTCAAGTTTACGGTGGTTCGCGTGTGACTTTCAAGGACGTTTTGTGTTGGTGTAAGTGTTAGTCTAAATATACTCCCCGTGAGGGGTGTAGCGCAAGCCACGTACGGTTCCTCTGTAGACACAGGTGTCTTGTGGTTATCCCCATGGAGACGGCAGTGACAGGCAACTCCGAAACTGGATGCCGACAACCACACTCTACAGTGGCTGAAATAAAGTTAAGTGAAACTACTTGAGCAGCCACCTATGGATTTCCACCGTCTCTCAATGACAACGGAAATTAATCTCTGCAATGCTAGTGGTGGATTTGTCGGACTCCCAAGTTGGCTGAAGTGGTTCGGAGATTGATGATGACCGCGGCCTTGCTGAATTCCTTCTCAGCGTATTTCACCGAATGTTGAATATGTTTAAGTTTTGGTCGAGTGCGCTTATATTTCGCAGGCATTGTTTCGCTGGTCAAGGAATTTCTTGTGCTTCGAATGATTTGGAATGGTACTCGGCTCTATTTACCAGTACTCACGAGCCATTGCTATCCACCCCCGTTGTCGGCCAGTCCCGGAACTCTTACACTGTATGCTGTTAACGGCACTCTGATACCGGTTACTTATTGAATTATCTTCCGTTGTTCATTATATTTTATGGAAACTTCCTAGATCTCTTCATCGTTGTAGACCTCCAACTGAGTTTGCAAATGGCTTTCGATGCCTTTTTCATAGTGCATTGAAATGCCGGTACCTACCAGTGTTCTACTCATCCATCTCTTCCCTTAATGACAGTTCACATGGAAACTTAAGTTGATGTGTCAGCTGCGCGGATTATGACAGACAGAAAACCTCAATGTCGTCGTACCCTTCACTGATGCCAAACGAGCGAGGGGCCTGTGGTGACACCGATAAGTGATCGAACTGCTGATGAGCATCCCAGATCGGCTGTCAACCCTGCGCTTGTATGCAGTTGCAGACGATCCATATCTTTTGTCCCGAAAGAAGTAAAATCACTAGGGAAAACAACAGCAACCAATGGTTTGCAGCCGGAATATAACCTCGTTCCAAGAGCATTCAGGTCCATCATGTGACCTGTGAGCCTGCTTCCTCATTGGTCGAGCAGAACTGAATTACTGATCCTGGCAGTTGATGCAGCCTTTCTGGTTTTCCCACTACTTCTATTCGTTTCGGTAGCTGGTCCTTCGACACACGCTTTTACATTAAGTCGTTGACTCTTACTCTTAGTTAGGATTCGGGGCTTACCGGTAACGAGCGCTGTTTCGGCCATAAGTTTGAAACGTGTAATGCATTCTGTCCTTCAGACTGTACCGGATGAAGAAACGCGAACGTTTATGTTAGAAAGCGCTGCTACTGATACCCGGATCTGGGTTGCACGTATTTCAATGAAGCGGCCACCACCATCCACCAAACTCAGAGCGATCTAGATAGCGTTCGGCTGCAATACTTGGTCCAGTTGAGCATTCCTGTAACCGGCCACGATCACGTAGATGTAGGTGATCTCGAAGAATTCTTACCACGCACACGACTTGTGGTGTTGGCGTGACAGCGAAGAGTCTGTACAGCGTACTGCTGATGCCTCCTCTTCTCTGTATGTTTGTTTTTGTATGAGTGAGAGATGAAGTTCTCCTAGAGATTCGTCAGACGTTGTATTCCAACCTCTATGGATATTTGGGGTCAAACGGCGGTACCCACGCCACTATTCGTCAGAATCCAATTGTGTGGGTTTTTCGACATTTTCACTTGGTACTGTCCCACCACCTTAGTTATTGACTGGGCATTATCGCGAACCTGTGCTGTAACCGTTACCACTGAAATATTTGCCAAACTTACCATGACTGGTTGCAATAAAACTTGTCTGTAATTGTTTCGGAGACGCATAAACTGTAAGCCACTGTAGACGGAAATGTATATCTATGTAAATGGGGCCATGGGTTGTAATGATAGTCTAGATGCGCCGTTAGCGCAATCCAAGGTCACCTGCCATCTCTTAGCGTGTTACCTGGGAAAATTAGGTATCTAGCCATATGAAACTGTCAGAAGAGCTCTTTGAGCGAAAGACTATCCGTGGCTACCCATTCTGTAAGAGGCTCAGTTCATTTACACAGTTATGAATGGCACTAAACTGCGGTGAATCTGGTTGTCACGCTCTCTTCACTAGAGTAACATTGAATATCAGTGGTTAGAAGATGAAATAAAGATTACTGGAATTAATATTAACTGCTAGACTCACGAGAAGTATTTCGTGAGTTCTCACGGTTGCCCTTCAACTTTCGTATGACTCGCAGGTCGCTGCATAGCTGATCCAGCTCGGAGGTGTGACTTCATAATCACATTGAAACCTACCAGAGGCTAGTCACAATTCGACGTCGATCGCGACCTTCTGTTTTGCTAAGTTTGCGTACTGTCGATCAGCCCTAGCTTTGAGTTAACACGACATCAAGCAACCCGCAACATTCTTTTGGTTTGACATCGCGACTTGATTGGTTTAACTCTTAACCACTGACCTTTCTGGAACTCTTTAAACGTGTTACACAAGATGGTTTACTGGTTCGCTGATGCGTGAAATCCGCTGCGCCGAAAGGGCTCACTTCGACTGATGGGCCCCAACACAGCGTTTGGCTTGTAGCACCAGATAGTGTGGTACATGAACGACATGCAGTACGGCTTGCTTGCTTATCTCTCTATGTACGGAGTTGAGTTCAAGCCATGGCCCCAAGGGCCTCCAAGATGCCAAGGCGCGGCTGATATCGAACTTTGTCGTCTGTTCGTTTTTTCAACCTAATACTCCGATTGTTATGCTCTTTCCCATTATTTTTGTTACATCAACTTTTTTCCTGACGATTCCGTAGCACACTATACTGATGTTTCCAACAATTTTTGTCTGTTCGCTTCTAGATCTCGGGCCGGGTCCTCTTCCAAATCCATCCTACTGGACAATTGATGAAGTTTGTCACTATCTTACTACTCGGGACTCCACTTTGTCTGAGGTGGCTCAAAAATTCAAGCATCACGTGAGTCCACCCATCCGCTTCCTGGACAATTTCTTTTTACTAACCCATGTTGGCGATTCCCCTTACATGGTTGTTAGCTTTCAAAAATGCCTATTTTCGACTAACCCAGAGGTCGTTTTCACATGTTCGGCTTTTGCATGTGCTTATGAAGAAGAGAATGTATGTTTGAGACTCGTGCGATCAGTCACGGCGATCCTGCACCAGTTCAATTATGTTCTGCAGTAGCTTCGCCTTTTAAACCAAGTAAATGTCTACTCTAATCGTTCAGCTGGTGCAGTCGTACCGGGTAGTCACGTATCACGTGGCAACACCACGTAAGCAACGCAGAGGTGAGAGACCGCGTGCTTGGGGCGAATAGTGCCAGTCTTCAAGACGTTATTCTCCGACATCGCATGCGCTGGCTCGGGCATGTTCTGCGCATGCCAGCCCATCACCTTCCACGTCAAGCGCTATTTGCACTCCCAGGGAGCGATTGGAAAAAGTGCCGCGGTGGACAGCCGATGACGTGGAGATGGAGTATGAAGAAGGTGACCTCAAGTTTGGCAGCAGTCGGACCAGTCCGCCTTCCAGGTTGGGGACCACGAGATGCTGAATTGCAGTGGTTGGGAACATTGGACGTCATGGCCCGCAACAGACATCAGTGGCGGCAATGTTGTTCCGCAATTTCACCATCCCTTTGATGCACACGAAAACTCACAAAACAAAAAAAATACAAAATGGCGTGTGTAAAACCAAAAAATCGTTTCCCATATTTTTTAATTGCACTAGTGTTCCCATCTTCTTCACTTTTTTCTTCTGCCGTGGTTCTGATGGCACAATGTCTGTTAACAGACTGTGAATAAATATACATATATATACATCTCCGTATACCCTCCCCATTGGTCGATACAAGCTTTGCACATTGATGACCAGAACTTGATTTCCGTAATCGTTTATCATTTGATTCGAGCATTAGTCCGTTAGGTGGACTACGTTTATTCCCTGTTTTCGCTTATCGCCCTACTGGCTGAGCTATTCGTAGGGTCTCTCATGGTCTCGCATATTGGAACACGTTATCGTCAGTCAAATCCCCCTTTACTTATGCTTGACTTGATATCACTGCCTCGAGTGGTGGTTGTTCTCCTACCTCAGCATTATGACGGTTCGCGTTTTCCGCTTTCGATTGTCTTTCATGTTAGCTGCATTTTTTTCGCTCGCATACCCTATATACCAACGGAAGTGATGATTGATCGTCGAACAGACATGACTTATTGCTCACGTTCCTTTATTCTCTTTCCGCTTACCCTTTACTGCCTTTACATCGCTCTGCTTTTTTGCCAGTCCAATTTGCCTATTATATGTCGCACTAATGGACGTTTTGTGACACCCGATTTGGAATCTGCCTTTCGCCTAAGGGCTGTGTAGCACTCGCCACTTCTGCCACGCATCTTGTCCACCCCATCTGCGGTCCTTTCATCCCTCATAATTTATGGAACAGCAAAGGATCTGGGTTCACACAGTTAATACATTGTAGAATGTGCCTTTGGTACACTTTCCTTTTGATACACTTACTTATAGTGAGTGGACACGTAAATATCCGAGCTATCTGTCAACGCTGGACAAATCTAACAATAAATACGTCCTTCTCCGTCAACTACTAATCCGAAGCATCTGAATCAGTTTTCTTTCCTCTGTACATACACCATCTCCTAATCAATTAATGACATTTTACCGCACTCTGCAGCGCAGCCTTTTGAGTTGCCGGTAGGTGTAATATATTTCTCAGCAATCCCCCTTCGCTTCATCGCCCTTGCTTCAACTCGGATGCGTTTATTATGCCTATCATTTTTGTCTCGCTTTCTTGCAAATACCTTGAATTTGATCAAATTATCCAAAGTTTGTACCACCCAGGGCACATGTTTGTTACACGGCTTCTTTGTGCCGTTTTCCTCCCAGTTTACTTCAACTGAGCCTGTGGCCGTTGCTACGCAATGCTTTTGCGTTCATCAGCCAAGGCCGCTACAGTAAATACCCATTCTCTAGTTACTTCACACTTTGGCTAGCAGCTCCATTTGTTTTATCAGGGTATCGAAGTGGTTCTTCGTAAAACCTAATTGTTTTGTGTTTGCAAGAAAACACACTGAGTAAGGTGGTCTAAATTGTACACTTGAATGGCATTTATTCTATTAGGCGACTGTTATCCTTATTATTGGTAGTGAATGGCTGCTGTATGAGTGATCGATGACGACAATGGTGGTTGTTCTGCCCGAGTTAGAGAAAGCATACACCAAATCCGCTATCCACCTCAGTTGTTGGCGGTAATTATCTCGTGTTTTTTGGTTGTCCGAATTAACTCGTTGACTTCGGTCTTTTCTTTGAATGTTCTCCGAATGAGGTGACTCTTTCATCAACCCTGTTCGCTGGTGTCGTTACTCGATCATCATCATCCACAACAGCAGTACATCAGCCGTTTGGACTGATGCCCCTCTGCCATACCACCACTAACCGAAATACCAAACTGTTACTGTGGAAAATTTTAGACTTGTGCTCTGAATACCGCTGGTCAATGACGCTGTTGCATTAACCCGCGTTTCGCTCTTTACTCCGATGTTCACATTGGATTTCCGTCAAATTTCCAACTAACCTCTTCGTTTCTGTCTTTTGGTGTTTCTCCGAGCAACTGAACCCACTATTGCCCAAAATAACTTGTAACGCTATCGCGCGATGGGGCCTCAGCAAAGGTAGTCGCGTCTCGGTGGTCCTATTCAGTCTTATGCGCGTTGGTATCTTGTCTGGCAGTGTAGGTTGCGTGTCTCATTACCGCTCATCTCCGTAATAAATCATGGAACTGTAAGTATTGGGTCTCCGATTCTAGCCCCACACTGAGGAGATGGAATCTGCTCTGCTGGGAGACTTCCATGAAGCATGAGATGCCTGTCTGTTGCTTCTCTAGATGTACACTGATTGTGTGTAGCCATGACGAATCTCCCGGGCAGATCATTGCTTACCACTAGGATGTTGGACATTCACATGCAAGCATACAAGATTGGAGTTTCCTGGCTAGGTAAATACTCTCATCTATTTTCCCGCATCTCCTTTTTTCAATAAGCATCATGAATGCCACTAACTCCCTACTTCAAGGGACTTTCCTGGCAATCACCACAGAGGTGGGCATTAACCGCATCCAAATGAGGCAACTTGCTTCGTTGAGTCATCCAACAACACTACAGAAAACGTTGGCAACTGTTAGTATGAGAAATTCTGCTCAGTCACTGATCAAGCACAATTACTATCCGGTAAGTCACAAGTATGGCGTACAATCCATTCTGTGGGCCGGATGTCGCAGTTCGGGTGGGCCAAGACAGTTTTAACGTCTGAACGAGACGTTTTCTGAACACCCAGCTCCGGCTCGTACAGTCGAATCGCGATGGTCTCCACGGATTCAAGTAAACCCCTACAAACGCACTTTGATTGATTGTCTGATAGATCACTTTGAAAAACTCAGCCAAGTTGGTGGCATGGCCAGTGTCGGCGAGTTTCGTGGCTATGGATGCGTTGGTTTGTTTTCCACAAGCGGTCATGAGTCAATCCGGATGGTGTTCTTTCAGACAGGCGCCTCGTCGCTCGGCCTATGTACCCTGCCCCACAGGAACAGGAGAAAGAATAAATACACATTGATTTGGCGTGGACGGGCCTCTTGTCTTTGGGGCTAGTTCTAACCATTGGGTTACCGGCGAACTGGATTCACACTTTAGCTGCTGGGAAAGTGTGTCTGAGGGCATGAGAAAGGCGACGAGTTATGGTTTCAGCAGCGATTTCTCCCTTGTATGGTAGTTGGAGAAATATGGGTTTTCTCTAGACTAAGGGTTACGGGAGCCTTCTTCCTTTGCCCCATGTTGGCTTTCAGGAAACCGTCAGGTTAACAATTTTCTCTCAGCGTCGAATGTATGCGCTTCAGTTCTTCGGGCCACGTTTCGTTCAGGAAAATTCTTTCTGCTCGACTGAGGATTAGGTTCCGCTTTACTTTCAATGGGACGAAACTGTGGAAATTCAGATATTGTCCATTCCACGTGTGTTTCCTATACACGTGATGTTGCGACATGCCACTCTCGAGTCGCTTCATTGCCACGTCTAGGAAGTAAAAAGTACCATTTACCTCTGCTTCGGAGGTGAACTTCAGTGCTTCGCGCGCCTGATTGGATTCATCGGTAAGGTCTTCGATGGTTCGAGAGGAGTGGAGCAGTACCAAGATATCGTCGACATAACGGCGGTAAAGAATGAGATACGTGATGACAGCTTCCAACTCGCTCTGTTCAAGCATACCCATGAATACGTCAGCGAGAAACGGTCTAAGTGGAGAATCGATAGCAACTCCATCGGGCTGTCGATACAATTCACCGTTAAACAGAATCTGGATGTTGGAAGTGCACCGAAGCCGCAGTTCCTGTAGCGGCACTGTAAGTCTGCCAATAGCTATCTGGTTTTATTCGACATAATCACAGATATTATTCATAATTTCAAGTATCATGCATTATACACGTTAGCTGCAGGTGAAAACACCTCAGCTATTGTGCCGCAATACAAAAGACAAGAAGAAGCAAAAACAGTGGCACACCAGCTGAGTCCCCAGTACCGGATGGACATCGTTCCGGAGAGCTAACAACCGGCTATCATGCCGCAAAAAGTTATATTATTCCTAACGAGTGAGATCGTGATTGGAGTGGGATGCTAAGCAGGAAGGGGATGGACAAAGGAACTCACAACACAAATGCCATTGGGGCCGGCTCCTAGCCATATCAGCAAGTGTGTCCAACCAAACGTGTTCATCGTCCTTAGGATCCCATCCAGACAGTCGGGATGCACCAACTGACGCCAACTTCGAAGTGAGGGTTTTCATTTCTCTCGACCAAATCATCAGTTGGCCTTCCCTCCTTCTCTTTTAACCGCACCCCCCGAGCGCAAACCATGCACTTCGCGGGAGCCGGTGTGCTGGCATGCGCAACACGTGGCCCATCCATCAGAGCCTGGTGCGTGATATAATGGTGCATAGCGGTTTACTCGCTTTTCCTGCGCCAAATACGCGACGCCGAGCGCACTCATTGCTCACGCGTTGCTCACACCAGACATGAGCTAAGCTGCGAAGGTAGCGATGATCGAATGTGACGAGCCTCTTTATGTCTGTCGACCTGATGGGCCAGGTTTCATAACCATATAGGAGAGTTGTATGGACGGCTGCGTTATAAACTCTGCCCTTCAGGACGACAGTAATGTCGCACCTGCTCCACAGGTGGCGGAGATTCGCAAAAGCGCCTCGAGCCATTGTTATACCGTTCGTAACCTCATCTTCGATCCCACGGCCGCTAATATAGCTGCCCAGGTACTTGAATTCCTGAACGAGTTCTAGCTTATCATCACAAAGCGTTCGCGCAGGGGTAGGTCCCTGCCAATCTTTGAGGAGTACTTTACAGTACCCCAAGACAGTCGGTGCTAATCGGTCCAGTGCTGCTTCGCATGTTTGAGAGCTGTCACAGATTAGGGCAATATCGTCCGCGTACTCCAAACCAAGAAGTAGCTTCGCACCTAGGTCGTGTCCAGCGAATGCTGATTCCATGACCGTCAAATGCGAAGTCAAATAGGAAAGGTGACAGCGGGCAACCTTGTCTCACACCGCTGGTGATACTGAAGGGTGACGACAGTCTGCCATAAACCCTCACTCTGCCCGAACTATGCGCGTACAGCGCTTTGATAATGTTTACGCATTTATCAGGCACACCTTTCCTCAGCCGACAGTCCCAAAGGGCACATTGATCGACTGAGTCGAAGGCACCTTTTATGTCAAGAAACACGATGACGCTGGGTCGCCAATAAACATGGCGGTGCTGCAGCTATTAACACAACGTGGAGATGTGGTCGATACAGACCCGAACTCGACGAAACCCGGCTTGCTCTTCACGAATCTGGCTTTCACATGTGCCACTCAGTTTGTGGAGAATGACAGAGGCAAGCAATTTAGAGGCAATTGAGATCAGACGGATCCCTCTATGATTTCGTCAGAGCAGTGAGAGGACATAAGTTGCGATGTGCCAACATTGTGTGTTGTTGTGTGTTCAGAAAAGGCTCGTTCAGACGTTAGAACTGTCTTCGCCCACCCGAACTGCGACATCCGGCTCACGAAATGGAGTGTACGCCCCACTTGTGACTTACCGGATAGTAATCGTGCTTGATCCGTGACTGAACAGATTTTGTCTTACGAACCTTTACGTTGTGTCAAACATTCTTTCCACTATATTTGGCTGTCTTCGTTTTTCAGGACCGACCATGCCTTCTCCATACTATGAATACACGCGTGATTGCGGAGGTTAAGCCACATGAGATCATAACTGGGTCACAGCGGCCTCGTTCATTCTCCGTTGTCTTTGTCACTGTTGTGTTCGGAATCTCCTGTTTATTGCTATGCAGATGAAATTGACAATTTTGGCCAATTCCAAAGTGGACGAAACCACTTTCCAACGTTTTTCCGCATGCTGGGCAGTTTATCTGTGAAACTGCAGCTATTCTCATCTGATTTTGATCTGGATCCACCTTAATCCACTGCGTAACCAACGATTTTTGTCGCCACTGGTGACTCATTGTGCTCTTTTGCTTTAATTTGTCACTAACCTATTTCCTGAGTGCATTCACATGCCCATGTCCTGTTGTCTTTTCACCCCAGAAGTATGAGCAATTTACATCCGTATGGCATTGCCGATTTCCTTAGTTCCCCGTTCTTCCGTCCCACTTTTATGCTCCCTTGCTGCATACGTTGATTCAGCAGTTATTTTTCCTCGAAAATGTGCACGCTATTCCTTCTACAAGCCTAAGGCCTTTGGTCGTTTGCAAACGTGCATTTTCCTCGTTACACTTTTTCACTATTACCTTGGTCAAAGCCTGTGGCATGAAGATGGAGAGGCGCATTGCGAGTCACAAATGGAAAAATATTTGTAATCAGATGAGACATCTGAACCATATTTGTGCAATAGTTAGTGCAATATGGCCATTGACAACCCCCGCCCAGTGCACCACATCAAATATTGACTCTGGCTACCGATATCCCATACAACTCGCTCAGGATGACAATACGCACCATCTCCATTCGCTTTTTCGGTGAATGAAATCGGGCCATTCTACGAAGCCACTGCCCAACTGACTCTGTGCTTCGTCCACCGGAATACACCGATGTAGGCCATTGACACGTTTTCGATGGACTGAGGTCCAGTGCACCAATAGGGACACCAATCTGTCACTCGAGGTCCCAATCGGACATTTGTGGCGTTTTGTGCATGCTTGTGGTCCACTGCTAATCGTCCTTTTATTGCGTTCATCATAAGTTGTTTCGGCAGATTTTACCGGGCGCAATTCTCATGCATATGCACATCTGCGTAGCTCACTAGCACAGCAGCTCGTTCATTTCAGTCTGAGAGTTCATCGCAGTGGATTCTAAGTCAAATGGCCTATCACGCATCCAGAAAAGCATCAGTTAGATCTCAGCTTATTGCTAAATTGTGTAGGCCTTTCCTTCCCACGATTTGGCCCCGCTGTCACGGATTAGACCGCAACTCTGTACACCCTAACAGTCAGATGAGCTTAGGAACACTCACTATGTGTTTGGTTTGAGGTACGCGATCGCGTTGTGGATTGAAGTTCGTTTTAAAGTGAACTACCTACGGTCCTTCCGTACTTCATTTGAAGTGACAACATTTCCATGCGTTTTCTCATCCGTTATTGCAGTGCATAACTCCACTTTCTTTTTCTCTCAGCACATTCTTGAACGTAGTTGGACTGTATTCATTTACCATGTTCACAAGCTAACTTAGGCATCTCCTACACACATATCTTGTCTTTCCCTACCACTTTTGTGCAGGAAATCGATGGGCAAGCTTTATTACTATTGAATATGGAATCACTACGAAACTATCTGCAAATTAAGTTGGGTCCCGCTCTGAAAATCGACCACCTTATTACCCGCCTTAAACGTGGCCTACTGTAGTCACAACTCACCGACCGCGCTTGTCTCCACACGGAGTCTCGCAGTCCTATTTTTTTACTCTCCCCAGATGTCTCCCTTATTTCTCTGTGTGTACGCTTATCAACTTTATTTTATCATATCCCTCAGAAACCTGTCCCTAGTCCGATTGTGTCGTTTTTCACCTCCCGATAGATCTCCGCACCCATTTCCCTCTCCCTCCCTTCTGTACTGTCTTGGAATTCGCCCTGTGCGCACATTGTCTATGTATACCTCTAACCTTTGCGGTTTCTCGGCCACGTGCCCTCCAAATCAGGGGCCACTCTTTTGGTCTTGGTGTTCTCGTGTGTATTTTTTCACCTTCTACTAGTATCCATTTTGTGAGCTAAGATGACTACACCATCCTCTCTGAAGACCATTGTTTGACAAACATAAATACTCATCCCTTTTGTCATTTTTTGTGCCCTAGCTTGTGTGTCTATTCGAATGCAGAGTGTCTGCATATGCCTAGACAATGGTTTCGATGCGAACGTTCCGTCTGTACCATCGTATTTGTCAAAGTGGACTTGTTTCCTCTTCCACTGACGATTATGTATTGATGTATTACTATTTTATCTCTATTTTGAACGCTTTGAAGATAAAACTTTTTGGTCCTCAGTTTCTTCAACTCATCTACAAAATGCTTTACTTAATGAACACGTTTGGCTGGATACAATTTTTGTTATGGCTAGGAGCAGACCTCAGTGGCGTTCGTGCTATGAGTTTCTTTGTCCTACCCCATCTCTCTCAGCCTCCCCCCTCCAATCACGATCTCACTATTTAGCCTTTTATAATTTTGCGTAGTAAGTTGTTTTTTCTGCTGCATAGTAGCCGGCAGGTAGCTTTCTGGAACGAGGCCCATCCGTTACCGGTTGCTCAGCTGGCTTGTACCTGTTGCATTTTCTTCCCGTTGTTTCTTTCAGGTATTGCGCCACAGTAGCTGAGGTGTTTCCCACCTCTTGCTAACGTGTATAATGATGATGATTTATTTAATGGTTGTCCCCACCACAACGAAACTGTGATTCAGTTGGGTTCCTTTTATCAGGTATGGCTCGTTCACAAAAACCGATGTGTCCAGTTGCTGTATTCTACACCACAGTGAGCTGTATACCCTGGTACTCCACTGATCTTCACCTTGCGTCATTTCTCTAGTACCTTCAAAGTCGCTTCATAAGGTGAGAAGCTGTCTAGATATCAGGCGGAATTGGTCTCAACATCTCTGGTAGAGTTTTATGGTGAGGCCGATGGTCCTTTTCTTTCGAGTTCGGCCACTCGAAACAAAAGCCTGCGGGTTACAAACTCATTGCGATTGGTGTGGGATACTAGGACCGCAGGTTGTCCCTGATGTTAAGGAGAATACAATTATCGTTTACTGGTTTGCCACTAACCGTATCTAATTACATAGCAACGTGGTGTAAACTCGCCTAAGGCCTACTTGAATCTCAAGACTGTTATTTGATCCATTCGAGTAACATTCACAAATTGTTCTGCACTTTTTAAGAATACGGTCGAACCTGCTTTATTGCCACCCGATTTATAGCCCAACCCGCTTTATCACCCAGTTGTTCAAATACAAATTTTTTCTCATATATATGCTAACTTTTCGCTGTCTAATTTCCCATCGCTGCATTCGTCCCACCGTTTTATTGCCCAGCTGCGTGCGCTGTGCACTTGTCGCTTTGCCAATTTTTCGCCATCGCTCCCACTATCTTTTATTACAAGTACCCCACAGCCAGTCCGATGGAGTCAAGTACCTCAGCGGCGTTATTGACAGATCAGAAAAGGTTACCTACGTCATTCAGTACACGAGCAAGCTAAATGTACAGACGGCTGTGGGCACGCCCTCAGCCCTATTCAAAGTCGAGAACTGAGGAGTCGCTTAATCTTTCTGCTCCACATTTGTCAGTACTCTATTGGTTACATACAAGTATGACCAGTAACAGAAGGATCTGGCCTTGACCGAAAAGTTGGATGTTTTGAACAAAATTAAAACCTATCCACCAGGAACCTCGCAGGTCAAGTTGTCGCGTGATTTACACATTTCTCGTCTTACCCTAGCCAGGTTGATTGCCAGCGAAAAGGAACTCCCGTAGAATGTCTCATACGGCACTGCAAACTCTCAGAAAAGAGAACGATGTGGAAATGATGATGAAGTTGAAGCTGTATTACAAGACCGGATTATCCCGGTTCGTGAACACAACTAAACAGTTACAGGCCCGCTTTTGCAGACAAAGACAGAGGAATCCGGGGAAGACTTGGAAAAACCATTGCTGCCACAAAAGGATGACCTCAAAGATGAAAGCATAGAAATCAAATTGTGTATAAACGTGCACATGGCGAAAAGTTATGCGGACAGAGCAGTCTGTGAAAATTGGTTGAAAGATTGATTGCCTGAACCTTTAAATGTATTTTATGACGACAACGCGTACAATGCAGACGGAACAGGCCTTTTTACCGCGCAGCTCCAGAGAGCCTTTTGTGTTTTTCTGCCGACAAGCTCAGTGCATCGATAAAACCATGGATAACATCACTCTCCCGTGCTGCGTTACTGTCAGGCGTGGATAAAACCAAACTGATTTTGATTAGAAAAAAATCACGATGTTTCAATGGCTTGAACGTGGACTAACTTCCCGTAACTTACAGAGCTAACAAAAATGCGTGGATGTCGGAAGAACTTTTCTTCTAGTGAGTCCACGAATAGAACAAGGAGCTAGGCCAAAGTGGCCGAAGAATTTTTACTCTTGGATAATTGCACATCGCATACACAAAGACCTGAAACACATTCAAATGGAATTTTTGCCGGCAAACACGACCAGCATTCTTCAACCCGTGGACCAAGGTGGGGTTATGAATCTGAAAATCCGTTACAGACAAGAAGTTGTGAACCGAATTATTTATCACATCGGAACAACGTGTTATCTAGCTCCTCGTCGGCGGTGGATGTCAGCGCCAAGATTTCTGTACTCGATGCAATTCAGTTCGTCTCAAAAAGTTGGAGACTGATTACCGGTACAACAATAAAAGCTTGCTTTCGGCATCCGCTGCATTTCTTGATGACGTCGTGATCGCTAAGAACGAGATCAGCGCTTGCACAATCCCAGTCATCAATACAGAACAGTTCGTCACCATTGATAGCGGTGTGGAATGTACCTCAGCTCTGACAACTGGGATGAGATCCGGATGCCTCCGTGAGTAACAGCAATCAGCGCGTGTCGCATTCTAGAGCAAAGAACTATGTGAATGATCTGTATAATTAAGGACTTTTACATGGGCTAGGCAACGAATTTTTGTCTAACTTGTACTTCATCAGTGCATAAGGTACTAGAGTAGCAACTCAAAATAATGTGCAACTGGCGCTGAATTGTTTTCTCAGTAAAGATATACAGTAGCGCCAGTTTCTATAGCTATACAGGTAAGAGGGTTTATGTTATAATTCTTAACTTATTGGTTATGCTCTCCTGAATGAACGTCATTTATAGGCTTTAGTTATAAGCACGTATGTTATCCTCTTTAGCACACCACGATTCAAGTGATGTACTGTACAGTAATCCAGTGGTAGTTTCTCTTTTGGAAGAAATGGCAACATCGGTTAACTGCTCACCCCTCTTTATTGACCACTTTTGCAATATTCCGACGATGGGCAATAAAGCGGATGACCACTCAAGAGACCGAGAAAACGATTGCCTTAGGCAGGTGGTCGCCATGGACAGGTTCATTCATAGGGATATTACTCATAAAAGCAAACATTAGGGATGTCTTTGGATGGTTGCCATCAAGAGGTAATCGCCTTAGACAGGTGGACGCCATGGCAGGTTGGATTGTAATTCGAATCGGAGACGAGAGGTGGGGGCCCTCGAACAGTAGCCTTCTCTCGAACTGCTTAATCGACGAGTATGATCTGTCCACAAAATCCCACCTTAATTGTCGTTTTATTATGGGTTTCCTCTTCTCCGGTAAAGCAACAAGTGATCAACCCTGACTTCGTCAGTCATACTTCTTATCAACCCCGGTAATTCAGTTTAGGTCCTTCATCTTCCCCACCCTGCTTCAGTCTGATCACCAGGCAGCACTCGTTTTAACTTTACCTCTTCATCAACGGATCTGTGTTGTGTCTCCGAAACACACACATAAAGTGGCGGTTTTCCGGTGCAGTTGCGGCTCGCTGTGACAGAACATGTGAACTTGTGCTTTATGGAGATACCGGCTTCATTTCGTGTGATTTATGATGCTTGAATCTTTCCCATCTAGTCCTCAGAGAGGGTTCTGCGCCAGCAGGTCCCAATAAGCGGCCACATATGTTCAGCTTGACTACAAAGCTTAGTAGTCGAGCGTGCCATATCTTTTTGCTTTTTCCACATTCTCTCTTACTGTCTTTAAACCGGAGGCAATCAGCGATCATTTCGCTGGCAGTTCTCACTTCCAACTTGCGATGCTAAGCTACCGTTGATGTGTCGTTTTCCAGCTATATGATTGCTAAAGTTGTTAGTCTTTCTGAGTCTCTGCAATGCCTTGTTTGAGCTCGATGTGTAGCACTCTGACGCTGGCGACTACCCCAAGTATGCGTGGCAGTGTAGCTTCCCTATGCGGAGGTTTGAATTGGGTTATTCGGTAAACACTGAACGACGGGCAACCGTTGCTTCAATTTGATCACCTCATCATCAGTCGCCAATGTTCAAACCTCACTTCAGGCTTGTTGAGCGATCAGGGATCACTTACTTCGGCTCAACTCATGCCCACTGACATCGAGTCCACCCTTGCGACTTTTGTGAATGACGGTGCTTCGAATGGGCATGCCGGTCATCTATAATCGCCACCGCTCTGCATTGCAGACTCGGTTGTCGTTGGTTACTGAGGTGGACGAACCGAATGCCTTGCGGACTCAGTTCCAGTTCTTCATCAAACTGACCTCCGACGCCGTTTGTTCCCCAGGTCCAAGTGGCTCAACTTGAGGATGTGTTTCCGGGGCTCCAGTTGGTTTGGCTGAGGTGCGTAGCACGATCCTGTCGGTAAGTCGCTTTCGGGGGATCCACATTTCCTTACAACACGCATTTGCTTGGCAGCGGCTGAAGAAGTTTATTTATTATTCGTTAAGTTCTACCTATCCGGCTGCCCTAATCCGACGAGTTGAATATCATTTGAATTACGAAACAGCAACTGCTTCGCATGGAATTATCTCACCTTCCCAGGTTTGATTCCCTGCAATTCTTGACTTATGGTGCTTCCTCATCCGTTTGAACGAAACTAACCCACACCGCAGGCATGAGTGTGAATGATACGCCTGTGAAATTTTGTACACTCAATTTGTGTGGAATCCGAGACCTTTACATCGCCTTTTACATTAATAAAAACATACTGGACAATCGTTGGTCTCTTCTCACTTCTGCTCATTCCACTTGACTGGGACAAACTGATCTGTTCTTCACGTTACTGTCCTTTGTTTGGCTTACTTCGTCTTGTCAATTTAAATGGCGGGGTCGGTAAGGCAACGCATTGATCGCTGAGTGCTCTATTGTCCATCACCATATGCACGTCACACTGAACGCCGTTTCAATATACATAATGCGCTGAGGAAATCCGCGATTGTGCTTCATTCCGATGATCCGGCAGACGGACACGTTAGCAACACAGTTGTCCACCCAGGTAGGTAAGCATGAGACC